GTACGCTTACTCAAATATACAGGGTGTTAGAAAACTCTGGAAACGGTCAAATATCTCGAAAACGAAACGTTTCTGAGAAAAATGTTTTCAATTGAAGTTGTAGGGTTTTATATAAAAGTTCTATTGAATGATCATATCCGTTTGACCTTGAGTAGAGAGGTCAAGGCGAGGTCAAAGTCAACATGATTTTTTTAAATAGAACACCCCACTTTTTATTACACAGTGTTAAAGATGACAGCGAGATGTTTTCAAAACATTACTTGATGATCTATTTTTGTTGAGAATTGCCTGAGTTATGAGCTTTAGAATTTACAGTGCCGCCAGCATTAGTATTATCCAGGATGTACCGCGTGGAGGTTATATGGTCGGACTTTACACCCCTGTTTGTGCGTGTGTGTGTCAGCAGAAGGACCCCGCGGTTCGTCACTTCCGCAGTATTTAATGACTCCAAACCCTCTTTGCTGTGTGTGTGTGTGTTGTGTGCGTGTGTGTGTGTGTTGTGTGTGTGTGTTGTGTGTGTGTTGTGTGTGTGCGTGTGTGTGTGTGTTGTGTGCATGTGTGTGTGTGTGTGTGTGTGTGGGCGCGCGCGCGCACGCGTGTGTATGTATATAGACAGGTTTTTATTGAATTAAATGTTCAAATTGTCTGACAATGACCTAATCGTAGAAATTCATTTAAAACGTTTCGTCTCATTTCTGATGAGATAAGATTTACTTGGTGTAATATGCGTTTCCTAAGATCTGCTAAGTTAGCAGGTTTCGTTGCGTACACAATGTTTTTAACACACCCCCATAAAAAGTAATCCAATGAAGAAAGATCTGATGATCTAGAGGGCCACTCTATTTCTCCACGTCTTCTTATCCATCGGTTTGGGAAAGTATCAGTTAAAAATTGACGCACTACTACTGCATAGTGTGGCGGTGCACACTATGTTTCTTGTTGAAACCAAATATTTTGTATATTTCCGTCAAACAAATAGCAGGAACTATTTGATTTCGCAATAAATCTAGATAAATGTTCGCATTTAAATTTTCTTCAATAAAGAAGGGCCCGATAATACCACGTTCGTAACAAACCGCCCACACGTTTAGTTTCTAGGGTGATCTCCACACTGTGTGTGGAGATCATGCATGCAGTGAGAGTTCTCATCACTCCAATAACGGCAATTCTGACGATTTACCGTTCCATTTAATTCGAAAGAAGCTTCATCGGAAAATATGATATTATCAAGAAAAGTGTTATCATTATCGAATCGACGCATCATTTCATTGCAAAACTTATTTCTTCTATCGAAATCACATTCCGCTAGCTCCTGAGTAAATTTTATTTTGAAAGGATGTCATTTTTCTTTCATTATAATTTTATGAATAGAAAATGTACTAACTTCAGTCTGTACTACCTTCCTTATCGAAGAATTAGGATTTTCTACAAATGATTGCATCACATCCAAACTTTTATCGAAATGTGTCGCTGATTTTGGTCTACCACTTCGTGGGCGGTCCTTAACAGATCCCGTTTCTTCGAATCATCTGACAGTTTTGTGAACTGTAGACTTTGAAATTGGTTCACGATCTGCATAAGTATCGTTAAACAAAATCGCTACTTGTTCGAAAGACCTAACGCAGTGACCATATCCTCGCATCATCAATATTGTAATTCTATCTCTTTCAGTCAATACCATTTTGGCGACTACCGAAGGTAATTTCTTACTTTGCAAAAGAAATTACTTTGACTTAATATACGAACAAGTAATTTGTTACTTGTATGACAAATGATTTGCATCTAGTATCTAGCATCTAATAAATTTTCTTCGATAAAGACGAGTCCGATAACTAAAAACCCGTCGACATATTTTTTGGGGATACTACATGTGGAGATCACGTCTGTGCTACCTTCCTTATCGAAGAATAAAGATAAGCTCCTACAAATGATTTGTAAGTCTAATGACAATTTACAAATAATTTATTATAATGTGTACGCAACGAAACCTGCTAACTTGGGGCAGACCTTAGGGCAGACGCATACTGCACCAAGTAAATCTTATTTCATCAGAAATGAGACAAAACGTTTTAAATGAATTTCATCTATGATTAGGTCATTGTCAAGCAGCAGACGGAAGACAATTTGAACATTTAATTCAGTAAAAATCCGTCTTCATACACACGCGCGCGCGCACACGTGCACACACGCACACTCAAACAGGGGTGTAAAGTCCGACCATGCAACCTCCACGCGGTACATACTGGATAATACTAATACTGGTGGCACTGTAAATTCTAAAGCTCAGACAATTCTCAACAAAAATAGATCATCAAGTAATGTTTTGAAAACATCTCGCTGTCATCTTTAACACTGTGTAATAAAAAGTGGGGTGTTCTATTTAAAAAAATCATGTTGACTTTGACCTCGCCTTGACCTCTCTACTCAAGGTCAAACGGATATGATCATTCAATAGAACTTTTATATAAAACCCTACAACTTCAGTTGAAAACATTTTTATCAGAAACGTTTCGTTTTCGAGATATTTGACCGTTTCCAAAGTTTTCTAATACCCTGTATGTATACAAAGCATAACTCTGTGTTCAACCTCATTTAAACACAACAATAACTATTAGCCGAAATTGACTTTTTACGAACAAAAAGAATAGATGGAAACAACGCGTTGATCTCATTAACAAGAAAGACCGCTTTTTCTCCTCGCTGCATGCTGGCAGCTATTATTAGACGAAATGGGATGCTATAAGCTCGAGCGGCTGAGCACACCTCTTATTACTATTATAGTGCACGCTGATTTATCCGTCGTAACTTGGATTTTTGTAAAATTGTAAATTTGACTTTTCTCTTTATTCAATCAGTTTTATGCCTCCATTGCTTATGGCCACATAAGTTACCAAACATTCTGTATATGAATTGAAGTATACTATACAAATGCTATAGGTACTTGACACAAGAAGTATTAACCGAAGGTAGAGTACGTCAATCTGAGCAAGACCCCTGATATTTTGTATATAACCACGTGAAATTTCGAATTTTTTGCAATATAAAAAATGATTAGTGAATCAGTGCGTATAACACTATAGGACGCGCTTTGAAGACATAAACTTACAGAAAATGATTGAGAAGTGACTGTCTTTTAGTGACAGTAGCTATCCGCTAGCAGCTAAGGGTAAAATAATGATACGAACGACACGTGAGCAATTGTTTCTCAATACGCTGGATACAATCATTTTTGGTAAGTTCGCGTCTATTGTGTGTACAAAACGCGCTAATGCTAATTTTCTTTTGCTAATCTTCATTTATGAATAATTCGAAATTTCATGTGATTTTATTTACAAAATAACAGGGATCCTTATGCTCGGGTTAACATGTTATTCTAAGCACACGAAGACCCCTGTCATTTTACAAACAACCATATGAAATTTTAAGTTATTCATAAAAAGAAGATTAGCGCGTGTGGGATGCGCTCTTTAGACAAGACTTCATCGAAAATAGTTGAGAAGCGACTGCCTTTTAGCAACAGTAATTTATTTCTGAAATATTTAACCGTTGCTGGGCTTAGAGGACACACTGTATAATATTTCAGTGGGGAGGATTATTATTGATGATAATAATTACTAATAATTAAAAAATATGCCATTTCATCATAATAGTGAACTCTACGATATAAATTCTGCTATACTGTGATCACCAGTCTTACATGTACTTACATATTATACATTAATACATGAATCATATTTTGCGTACAAAAAATGGAAGTTATCTAATGAATTCGTCAACTATATCATATGAATAATACAAAATATTATACTCGCTATATGATGTTATATTTAAGTTATATTGTTATTACTCTATCATAACTTACTAATAACAGAATAATAAAACGGTTTGAAAACCTATTTTATTATATCAAAAAACAATTATATCATGTATATAATATTGAATATGTTATCTTAATATAAATAAAATATAACAGTCGCTAACAACATAATTGCTATATAACGACATACGAGGGTAGTCCCAGAAGTACTTGACCTAACAAAGAAAACACAAAAAATTTGTGAAAAAATATCTTTATTTCTCTACATAGTCTCCTTTTAGCTCAATACACTTTTCCCAGCGATGTTCAATAGCTTCGATATCCTGTTTATAGTGGGAAAACGTCGAACTCCTCAAAATAACCATCAAGCCACCTTGGTCTATTGTTTTGACTGTTCCTTTGTCTCAGGTATGAAATGATGGACCCATGTTTCATCCATGGTTATAAATCGACGCAAAAACTCGGCTTTATTGCTGCGAACTTCGCCAAACACTCGATTGAAACATCCTCACGACGCTGTTTTTGTTCCAATCGCGGCACTCATCTTGCGCACAGCTTTCTCATATCCAAATTTTCAGTCAATATGCAATGTATAGTACTTTTTGAAATGCCTACCATGTCTGCTAACTCGCGCACTTTCAGTCGATCCAATACCATTTTGTGGATTTTCTTCACCATTTCTGGCGTGGTCACCTCATTTGGTGACCACGCCAGAACGACCACTGCGATGTTCGTCTTGGTAGCTCGTACGGCCTCGTTTAAACTCTGCCACCCAATATTTTACTGTTGTAAACGAAGGAGCAGACTCCCCCAGAGTAGAATCTAGCTCCGCTTTGATATTGGTTGGACTGAGGCCTTTCAAATGAAAGTATTGTATCACATAACAATAACTAATTTTTTCTATGTTTACAAATTCACTGAGAGCGTTCACTATTGATGGCTGCCAAACTACTAAACAACGTAGCGTCGTCAAACTTCAAACTTAAGCTTTATAAGGTCGGTATATAAGTCGGTATATTTTCAAATAACCGCTATCTATACGTCAGGTCAGGTACTTCTGGGACTACCTTCGTATCATGTGTTATTTCTGTGTATAGCAATTATTTCTATGTTTACTGGTTGCTTTATATATAGCAACTATATATTCTATGTTTATTGGTTGCTTTTTAATTTATATACGCACCTGTTACTCCATATTGTCTGTAAGGCCCGATTTGATTTTCACTTGAACTACTTGAATGCAACGTATCGCTTCCTCTGTGTGACGTCCTTTGAGAAGTGTCGCTCGGAAATCCATCATTTTTCGTTAAACCACTATTGAATAGTGTTGTATTTACTTTTATAGGACCTTGCTTTCCTAATACGATATTAATATAAATTAATTCAAAGTTTTCATATGAATTATATTATTTTTCTATAATGATTGCATAAATGATTATATAAGTAATAATATAAATAATGATACAATTAAAAAAAGAGAGAGATAATCAAATATATCATTCCATTTCTCTGTAAAAATGTCATACGAGCCTTGACTATAATTTGAATCAGGTCGGGTACAACCAGATGTACCAACAAACGTAGTTTTCTGATTCGGATTCCAGCTTGATCCAAGAGTGCTGTCAAATCCAGTGTTCCGATCTTGTTCAGATTTCATTGCTGTTTCGAAGCTCCGAACAGGCATATTGTCATGTCTAATGTTCCAAAGTACTACGGGTTTCTGCGAGGAAGGGAATTCTGCCGTTGGACCACTAGATCCAGTATTCCAACTAGATCCAGATTTCGGTACTGTTCCGAAACTTCCAATGGGTGTATTACCATGATCAGTACCCCAATTTTGTACAGGTTTTTGCGAAAAAAGAAATCCCGCTATTGGAGTACTAGCAAATCCGGTATTCCATCCTTGTTCAGGTTTTAGTGTCGTTCTATAGTTTTCTATAGGCTTATTATTATATTTATCATTCCAAGCTGCTCCAGGTTGCTGTGAAATAGATGATTCATCAACTATGGCATCTGTTCCAACATTACTGCTTATCCCAGATTTTAACGTGGTTCCGTAGCTTTCAGCAAATGTATTATCATAACCAGCATTCCAATTTGATTTCTGTAAGGGGAATTCTGTCGTTGGAGCACTGCTGAATTTAATGTTCCATGTTGGATTTGATGTCGTTCCAAAACTTCCAGAAAACGTATCGCCATGCACGTTATTCCAAGTAGGCTTCGGCGTAGAGCCAAAACCAGCCAATGTTGTTCTTCTGTTCCAATTTGTTGTTGGTTCATTACTTGGCGTTGTCGTGAAAGTACCTGTATTTAAGCCGCTGTATCCTGGCTTTGACGTACTAGTAAATGGTATGTTCCAATTAGATCCAGGTTTCGATATCGATCTATGACCATTAGTTAACCCTACATATCCGGTGTTTGTCGGAAAATTGATAGTTCCGAAAGGACTATCAGGTTTGTTTTCTTTAACTTCTTCTTTAACATTATCGCCGTATACGCCTGTGGGTCCTGTTTTATGTACTCCTGGTGGGTGTGATCCAGATGTATGTTTTCTAGATCCACTTCCATGATAATACGTTTTATCAGGCCTATATTGACCATCATCACCGTCATCACATTCATCTCCATCGTTCTCATCTCCTTCTTTTTCTGGTTCATCTTGTTCCCAATAGTCGTTATTCTCCCATTTACATCTAGAACAGCTATCACTGTTTTTATTATAATCATGAGCTCCATTTTTTGTTCCACGGTGATGACCAACAGATTTTATGTCACGATTAGCGTTGCTATCGTAAGGAAAATTAGTATTGTCATAACTATGAATTTCCTTATGTCCCTCATGGGTTCTAGGAAAATTTCCTGTTCCTGCAAATGTACCTATAAACGGATTGGCACCACTTAACATGGATGTACCAGCATTAGCTGATGCGATGGCTCCAGTATATGTACTAGCTGATGCACTATCTAAAGAACATAAAGATATACCTTTTGATTAGTCTTATATCTTAATGTAGTGTTATTGCAAGTTACATTATATTATTAAGATTTATTTTTATATATGTAACAATAAATAAAATGTAATTAGGTTGTAGAAAATAAATAAAAATTCATTTATTAATTATGGAATTTATAATAAAAATTCAGAAAGACGTTACATACACGATAATATTTATGCTATTACATAAAGAGATATGTCTAATATTTTTTGTGGAATATACAAAATGTCTCACAGAAATTATATTATAATGCTTATGTGCATATAAAACACATGACTGAGTAATAAAACCGCCACTATTATGAGAACGATTATGTAAAATTTTGAGTTATTAACGAAAAAAACTTAACAAATTAACGCACGCGATAGGAAGAATTCTATCAATTCATATGGAAAGTAGTTCATTGCACGATTATCTCTAAGCAATATTTAAAATCGGATTTTTACAATAAACAATTGTCTATTGCGCCGCCCGCATCTTTTTTCTACCTTTCACTGTTATTCGATATTGATCGCTGCTAAGACAACTGATAGGTGCGGTCAGTTATTTTTTACGCAATTACTCTAACAGAGTTCATTCTACTACATCATGTATATGGCTTCATTGATTTTCTTTCGTTAATAATTTAAAATTTTATGTGGTTATTTGCATAATGGTAATGGTTCTATTACCTAGGTTAATTCTATAAGCATATGAATGTTGATACGGCTTATGTTTGATACCTTGTATAAACATAAGAAGAAACTTGAAACATACACAGTTAAAAACATATCGTACTTTTGTTAAAATTATTTGTGTGTAGAAAGTTTTGTGTTAAATTTTTTACACAGTCGTGTGTTAATTTAACATATCGCTGTTATGTTACCTAGACTTTCTTGTGTTAAATTAAGATTATCTATTTTCTAGTGTTAAAATGACATTTCCAAGTATTAAAATAATACAATTTATATGTAAATGCATGAATTCTTGCTATGGCATATTTTATATGTTGAAGTCAACATCTAAAATGTGTTACTTTCCTCATTATAACAGTTATCTTGTGTTAAATGTATAATGTTAACATTTCTGATGTGATTTCTATGTGAAGATTGAATTGTTAATACATAGATTATGTTAATCTAACATTTTCATTTTATTAAATCATATATCATTACTTTTCGAAAATGTTGAAGTAATATTCATTGTATGTCAATTTAATACAAACTGTGATTCTTGACGGCATTCAAATGTTAAATTTTTGTGTTAATTTTTTACATATTATGTGTTATTTTTTAATATATTTGCTGTATGTTAAATTAACACAAAGATGAGAGTGGATGATTTGAGACACATGAAATACTACTGTGATAAAAAAATAAGGTGAATTTTTTATTTAAACTTCGCGGGTATAAAATCATGAAATTATTTTTTGGTGGGTTGGTAGCACCGTCTTTGACATCTATGCAGAGTTTCATGTCAATATATTCAATTGCTGCAGAGCTATACGTGTTTTTGTAAACATACAAAAGTGAGTTTTTCGATCTTTACTATGTCTGATTTTGTTGTGCAAAGAACTTGCATTAAATTTTGTTTGCGGAATGAATATTCTGCCGCGGAAACGTTGAGAATGTTGCAGAAGACCTTTGGTGATAAGGCTACGTCGCGAAAAAATGTTTACAAGTGGTACAAAGACTTCAAAGAAGGCCGAGAACGAGTTCAAGACTAACAACGCTCCGGACGACCATTAACATTTACCGATGAAAGCCACGTCAAAGAAATCAAAGATTTACTGTTCGAAAATCGTCGATTGACAATTAGAGACCTTGCTGATGCTACGGGCATTTCATTTGGATCAACCCAAACCATTTTAAAAGATGTATTGTGCCTCAAACGCGTCAAATCTCGATTGGTTCCAAAAACACTCAATTTTTTGGAAAAAAAGCATCGCGTCGACATCTGTGAAACAATGATTTCTGACTACCAGGACGTCATGAAACGCATCATTACGGGAGATGAGACTTAGATCTATGCATACGACCCGGAAACAACCGACCAATTGAGCGAATATCGTGCAAAAGGTGAACCAAGACCGAAAAAACCGCGCCAAAGTCGTTAAAAAATCAAGGTCATGTTGACAGTTTTCTTCGATTATCGCGGTGTTGTACATTATGAATTTCTTCCGCCAGGCCAAACTGTTAACAAGGAATATTATTTGAGTATTATGCGTCGTTTGCGTGAAGCTATTCGCCTCAAGAGGCGAAGAATTATGGGCAGACAATTCTTGGTTTTTGCACCACGATAATGCACCGTCCCACACTGCATTGGTTCTTCGAGAACATTTCGCCAAAAATTCGACCCATATCGTTCCACAACCACCGTATTCGCCTGATTTAGCACCGTGCGACTTCTGGCTGTTCAACAAACTCAAAAGACCGCTCCGGGGACACCGTTTCGACTCGATTGAGGAGATAAAAGCCGAATCAAAGAAAGTATTGAAGGCCATCCCGGAGAAAGACTTCTCTGACTGTTTCGAGGATTGGAAAAAACGTTGGCATAAGTGCATTGTGTCGGACGAGGAGTACTTTGAAGGCGATGAAATTGATTTGGAAGAATAAATAAAGATTTTTCATTTTATAAACAAATTCACCTTATTTTTTTATCACAGTGGTATGTTAAATTTAACACATCATTTTTTACAGTGTATACTTTAAAAATATATATTCCTTAATGCAGTATTATACATATTTTTTGACTTCTATTATAATAAAAAAACAAATAAATTTGAATAAGATTTCTCAATGGTATAGGCCAGCATTTTTCAACCGGTGTGCCAAGGTACACTGGTGTGTCGTGAAAGAATTTAAGATGTGTCCCAGCACACTAGTATGTCGTGAGAGGATTTAAAGTGTACCGCGAAAATTTTCAAAGGTCATTAGTTAAATTATTTTCGGAAGCAGTTTGAAGCACAGTAAGTATATACATCAAAATTAAAACCTATTTAAATTGATTATACGAATATATCATTGTTATAATAAATAATAATGTTATAATGTTAAAAATGTTATAATAAATAAATACCGGCTTATTTCTAAAATGGATGAGGTGTAGCCTTTATTACAAATTATATTAGGAGTACAAATAATAAGTTTCCGCCGTTTGACAAAAGATGACCCCACCAAAAGGTTATATTGAAATTGTCAGATGTAAAACGTAATATCGTAAGTTTGGACATCTGGTAACAACATAACGTTGAAGTATTAGTGACTCCGTATCAGCATCACATAATTTTTTTCGTGCGAAAATGTCAAGTTTTGTGCCGAATAAGCGTCATTTGCGGGAACTCTTGATTTACTTCTTTAATTTGAAGAAATCTGCAGCTGAGGCGCATCGATTGTTTGTAGAAGCATATGGTGAGACTGCTTTAAGTGAGAGAAGTTGTCGTGAGTGGTTTCAAAAGTTTAAAAACGGTGAGTTTAACGTGGAAGACAAAGAACGTAGTGGAAGGCCGAAAGTGTACGAAGACACGGAATTGGAAGCATTATTGGAGGAAGATTCATGACAAACGCAAGAAGAACTTGCACTTACATTAGAAGTGACTTAACAAGCAATTTCACATCGTTTAAAATCGTTGGGGATGATTAAAAAACAAGGAAATTGTGTTCCATATGAACTGAAGCCGAGAGACGTTGAACGCCGATTTTGCACGTGTGAAATGCTGCTTGCCAGGCATAAAAGAAAGGGTTTTTTGCATCATATAGTCACTAGTGATAAAAAATGGATCCACTACGACAACCCAAAGAAGAGAAAATCATGGGGACCACCTGGCCATGCTTCAACATCGACAGCCAAATCGAATCGATATTCATGGAAAAAAACTCATGCTGTGTATTTGGTGGGATCAGCTTGGTGTCGTATTATGAGTTGCTCAAACCGAGCGAAACCATTACTGGAGCTCTCTACCGAACACAAATAATGAGTTTGAGGCGAGCACTCAAGGAAAAACGCGCCCATTACTACTCCAGACACGACAAAATTATTCTCCTACATGACAATGCTCGGCCACATGTTGCAAAACCGGTCAAAACCTATTTGGAAACACTTAATTGGGAAGTCCTACCCCACCTGCCGTATTCACCAGACATTGCCCCTTCCGATTATCACTTGTTCCGGTCGATGGCACATGGCCTGTCTAAGCAGCGCTTTACATCATATGAAGATACTAAAAATTGGGTCGATTCGTGGATAACCTCAAAAGATGAAGAGTTCTTCCGACGTGGTATCCGAATGCTGCCAGAAAGATGGGAAAAAGTAATGACTAGTGATGGACAATACTTTGAATAAAACGTAATGTACCGTTTTTTCACAATAAATTCCTAATTTTTGATAGAAAACGGCGGAAACTTATTTTTACTCCTAATAAAAAATTATTTTGTTTTATTTTTTGGACGTAATGGTGCATTTTGTTTATGTTAATAAATAAATCGAAAAAAGTATATTCTTTTTTATATTCTTTTTTTGATCATCATTATTTAGTGTGTCACGGAAATTTGACTATAGATTCAAGTATGCTATGAGATAAAAATGGTTGAAGAACACTGGTATTGGTTGATAAAAATTTGGAATTTTCCTAAAATTTTAAATTTTGATTTTTCTACAAAAATCATAAATTTATAATAACTTATTTCTAGCAAAGATATTTCTTACAACATATTTTACAACATGTGAGTAAAAGAATTGTGCTTCTTCGCAGGTAGATTACTTTATATACGGGGCGTTTCAGACCACAGGGTCATTTGATTTTTTCGTAAACGCGACATTTTAGAGAAAAATGTTTCAGACAAAAGTTGTAGGGTTTTAAGTGACGCATCAGATAGTGGTATTAGTATGACCTTGAATAGCATTTTCAAGGTCACGTAGTGGTCACCTCTAATTTTTTAAACGGAACCTCCCATTTTTCATTGCATATTCTTGTAGTTTATCTCGAGAACTTTGCAAAACACATAAATTATTTTTCCATTAAGTTTCGAATTATGAGGCCTGAAAGTTAGAATACCGCCAGCATTAATATTATGCAAGGTGTACCGCGTGGAGATTACCCGGCGGACTTATACCTCTGTTGTATGTGTGCGTGTGTATGTGCGTGCATGCATGTGTGTGTGTGTCACAGCCGAGATAAGGACTGTACGGTTCGTCACTCCCGTAGTATTTATCGACTCCAAGCCTTTCCTGTTGTGTGCGTGTATGTGTGTGTAGCTGATGTGATTAGGCCTTATGTTCAAAATGTTCACTGTTTGCTTTAATGCAAACAAGTACTTTTATCTCAAAATTATTTGTTGCACGAAGAATTTCATCAGCATGTAGAGAACGAATAGAGTCGCATATTCTACGAATCAACTACATACACACATCAACTATATACACACATACACAGCAGAGAGGGTTTGAAGTCGATAAATATTACGAGAGTGACGAACCGTGTGGTCCTTATCTCTGCTGTGACATACACATACACACACACGCACGCACGCACGCACACAACAGAGGTGTAAATCCGACCATAGAACCTCCACGCGGTACACCTTGGGTAATGTTAATGCCGGCAGTACTCTAACTTTCAGACCTTATAACTCGAAAAGTATCTAATGGAAAAATACTTTATTATAGTGTTTTGCAAAGCTTTTGAGATAAGCTACAAAAATGCAATGAAAAATGGGGAGTTCTGTTTAAAAAATTAAAGGTGATCTCCACGTGACCTTGAAAATGCTATTCAAAGTCATACTAATACCACTATCTGATGCGTCACTTCAAACTTTTGTCTGAAACATTTTTTCTTTAAAATGTCACGTTTACGAAAAAATCAAGTGACCGAGCAGTCTAAAACACTTCGTATAATCATGACACATGTAGAGAAGGACTCTACCATAAACATTTAAAGATAATTTCGTTAACATGCACATAAAATAATTATTATACATACTAAAAGCTCCATTGTTGCCTGCATTGTTGATTGCATGTGCATCTACGAATTAAAAAGATGTAAAGATAAATTATTACAAATGTTAAATATATGTACAAAATATAAATTAAACACAAATTAAACTAATTTTCTACAAAGTGCTTCTTTTCAACAAAATACTTATTTCTATATATAGCTCGAATTACGAGTGACTTCCAAAAGCACGTTTAGTGCTTTTGGAAGTCATATTTTCATGTATTTATATTTACTTATACACGAACATGGAGATAGGCAGATAAAATTGTTAATAAAAATATTTTTAACATTTCAAGAATAATATATATCTTGAAAATCTGGATTTTTTAAGAGTAGATGTAAGTCTCATTCTCTTCCACACACACACACATACACGCGCGCGCGTGCGCATGCACACGTATGTATTCATATATATAAATATATTTCATTCTCAATATATAATTTAGATTTTCGTTTCTCGTACATAATTCTTTCAATAAAATTATAAGATATTTTACTGTATAACAAATATGCATCCGAGGAAACAATTCCTTCATGTCTTAATACATATTTATATATAAAAATATATGTTACATACATGTATTGCATGCCATATATGTTACATGTATATGTTTACATATAAAACTATATATTAGTTTTTTCAGAATGTGCGATTCATTTGGTTTCTTGCGAACGTAATTATTTGCATAAGACTAAAATTAGATTTATAATGTGAAACTACCTGAATTGGTATAGAACGCGCACGAGAAAAGAATCGCTAAGAAGCACTTCATGATGTCACTCAACATTTCGATTATTCTTGACAGATATTTATACGTAGATGTTGCTTCACCGGTTGTCCCTGATACACTGCGAATTAACAATCCGTTGCAAAGAAGATCCTGATTGGAAACTTATATATATAAGGATACCCCCAGCAGTGAAAGGATTCCAAACATGCCGCGAGCAATCTGTGAAGGTAGAATTCTCGGCTGTAAGCTAGGTATACATTGTCGAATGGCAATGAGTAATCATTGTTTCGAGCTATTGCTAGTAGCACATAAACGCACTGCAGTGTGATATAATAGAGACAGCATAACTGGTTTATGAAACAGTTCGCTACAGACAAGATAATACGTCATCGTTTCTTAGGAGTTTCCTCACGAAAGACATAAATACTCGTCACGTTTAAGCATCCTGAATGATATGTCGTGAGCGAACGCTGATAAATTTATATTCTTTGCACATTTTTAAGAACCTAGAACTCGATATCGTTCCTTTCAATTTTCTTTCATGTATTATCGAAAATGATGATTTATGTGTGAAAATCATAATGCCATAATTGTTATCAATTATATTGGGAGTACAAATTAGTTCGGTTTTTGTGTTAAAAGATGTGTTTATTTCAAAACAATTGAATGAACAGATCAATTAAAGTATTTTCCATCGCTGGCTACTACTTTCTCCCATTTCTCAGGCAATTTTCGAATTCCATCTCGAAAAAATGACTCGTTTTTTGAGGCGATCCAAGTTTGGAGCCAATTTTCGATATCTGCGAAAGAAGTGAACCGGTGACCTGCCAAATCGTACTGCATCCTTCGGAGCAACTAGTAATCAGAAGGAACAATGTTCGGAGAATAGGGCGGGTGCGGTAAAACATCCCATTTGAGCGTTTCCAAATACTTTTTTACGATTTTTGCAACATGAGGCCGAGCGTTGTCATGAAGAACACCTTTCAACCTCTCGGTTTCAGTTCATAAGGCACCCAATTTCCTTGTTTTTGAATAATTCCCATGTCTCAATCATACGGAAACGGCTTGTTGAGTCACTCCTAATGATTCTGCAAGCTCCTCTTGCGTTTGACTCTGATCTTCTTCGAATAATGCCTCTAATTCTTTGTCCTCGAATTTTTTTGGCTGTCCAGAGCGAGGCTTGTCTTCAACGCTGAAATCTCCATCCTTGAAACGTCGAAACCATTCCCTACATGATTTATCAGTTGGAGCAGCGTCACCATAAACTTCAACAAGCATTTGATGGACTTCAGCTGCACTTTTCTTCCAATTAAAGCAGAAAATTAAAACCTCCCGGAAATGCTGCTTGGTTAACACAAAATTCGACATTTTCAACACTGTAAAAGGCAAGGTTTCTATATGAAACTCAAAGTGATATAAACTGAATATTATTGGCAGATGTCTAACCTCTCTGAAACCGCCAAAATCGGTAGTCACTATGAACCATTCATAACAGCCGGAGCCATCTTTTGAAAACGGATCGAACTAATTTGTACACCCAATAATATCACACAATATATAATATCAAACATACATACATATTCATTTATGTTTAAATTGTAGTTGTAAATTTTGTACAGATGATATTTTTTAAATATGTGCATATTAAATTTTTTAAATTAATTCCCAATTTGTTTCCAAATTTGTTAACACACACCAATAGCATTCTTCTGACTAGATAATGATTATTAAATTAATTTTATTAAATACAGCTTCATTTTTATTTTACGAATGTCAATTACGATCGATTTATTAAGTTATTTTTATCTTTAATGCCTCGGTAAAAATTATAGAATTATATAATTATAGAAATTTGTTTACAATCAATAGTCAATATAATATTTATAAAATTTTATTATGATATCTAGAATATATTATGTAGATATTGGCGATGTAGTCGTTATTTAGTTTATATCATGCTCAAATTGAATCCAGATATTTATATATTTAATTTGAATATAATACCAATTGCATACCGATTAGATTATTAATAATCGATAGATACCTATATGATATTTTCTAAATAACAAATCGGAATATTGACTACATATTAACACCATATCAATGAAATATCACGTGAATTTGTTGTAACATCAATGTAGCATCAACACCAATAAGGAATCTAGTTATTATCAAATCGAAAGATCTGAAAAATTGTTATCGATCATTACAAATCCATGAGTATATTACATTTTATGTGAATATTCTTTTACTTGTCGAAATATATTAAGTTTCTGATTTCGCGATCAAAACAGCACAAACTGTAGTGTTTTAACAACTTGAATATGATCGGTTTTTCGGCAAATCATTTACATTAAAATATGTCGAAATTCTTTTAGCATTATGTGTGTCCATTGTATGAACTTTAGTGATATGAATGTCGTAGAACCATATAATCATGCATATGTATTAGAGAACAAGGTGAAACCACGATTCATTGTGTGATAATGCCCATGATCGTATGCATATTTTTAGAATGTACTTACGTATTGTCTTTCTTGTCCTCTAAATACCAATATCCTGAATGTAAAAGACCATCGCCAATAGGAAAAACACAGAGTGCAAAAATATACGCCTACAAGTATACTAACTAATTGATAGGTATCTACTAAGATGTTATCAAGACAAAGGAATGAATTTTCTCATTACTGCATGCTACATCCGTGTTAAAGAAATACGCCAGGTTATAAAGTTGGAAATGAATGGCTTCTTTAGAAATTTTTATGAGGAAACTATAAAAAATGTTATGTTATTATATATATATATATATATATAAAACTAAATACTATGTTATTATATATATATATATATATAGGGTCATCGAAAAGTATCGGACCCCCCTAATATCTTCAGTTAGAATGCATTTTGGAAAAATGTCCAATAGCAAAGTTGTACGGCTTTAAGCGGTTATGCTAGTAGGCTATGGCGAAAAACTGCCTGAAGGTGATCGCGAGAAGCTGCTCGAATTCGTGATGTCCGAAAGCGTTAGTGAGAATCTGCCCGAAAGCGTTGGCAGGGCCGATCTTTATTGTCTCACTCTCGCATGCACCAATAGTAATACAAGCTTTTGAGCAAACAATGCGGATCACTGATTTGAATCTTTGATGCAGTGCTGTCTTCTTCTTAACGAGCAGTAGTCACCTCGTAGACGAAAACGAACAGCCCTAAAATTGTTTCTGTAACAAAAGAAGCCATTGCGCTTCAATTGATTGTCCCAAACATCTTCATTTTGTTTCCAATAGCCCAGAATTTTTTCGTAAATATTATTAATTGATCTATTAGATTTTCAGTTGCTCAACAAGCTTTTTGCTAGTGCTGGTTGAAATAAACAAATCGAAAGTTGGACCAACACTTAATAATTAGTATTTTTCTCTACTTAATTATTTAGATCAATTTCCTATCACTTACCTCATTAATTCTTCTTTGCTCTAATTAAGAATGGCGGAGTTTTCTGAAAGAGATCGAATAACACTGTTAATGATGCGAGGATGGGGAGATCAACAAAGAGGGTATAAAACAGTAACGCGATTATTTAATGAAAATTTTCGGAATGAAAATATGTGTGTAGATCACGTACGCACGCACGCACGCACACACACACACACACACGCGCGCACGCGCACACATACACACACACACATACAAGAGGTATAAATTCGATCGTGCAACCTACACGCGGTACACCTTGGGTAATGCTAATGCCGACGGTACTGTAACTTTGAAGCTTCATAACTCGGGATGTACTTAACAAAAATATATTTTGTTGTAGTGTTTTGGAAAGTTCTTGAAATACGTTATAAGAATTGCCAAAAAAAGTTGGGCATTCCATTTGAAAAGTTCAAGGTGACTTTGCCCTGGCCTTGTTGACGCTAGCCAAGGTTAAACTGATAAGATCAGTAAAGAGATCATTTTAAACCTTACAACTTTTGCCTGAAACATTTTTTCTAAAAACTGATTGTTTTCGAGATATTTTATCGTTCGAAGACTTTTTGAGAACCCTGTATATATAACTGATGCCAAAACCTTCTTTTCCGATCTTTCATGCTTTGTTTGCTTTCGAGCTGAACATCCAGCTTCAGTCTACTGTAAACGTTCCTGTTTCAATTTAGGATCATGGTGATAGATCCAAGTCTCATCCATAGTTATAAAACGACGCACAAAATCGGTTTTATTCTTCTTAAAACGATCCAAATAACGCTGAGAAATTTGCTTTCAATTGAGATTTTGTTGAATTGTTAACGTATGCGGCACCACTTTTCCAAACACCTTTTTCATTTGTAATTTTTTATGTAAAATATGCCGTATCCGTTCATTTGAAATGCCTATGGTATGAGTAATTTCATGCGTAGTCACACTTGGATCTTCAGACACAATAACATGTATTTGCTCAATGATTTCTGGTGTTGATGCGCTTTTTGGACGTCCACTGCGTGGATCATCTTCAATGCTTGTACAACCACGTTGAAACTCAAGTGCCCATTTATAAACCATTGTTTTTGAAGGAGCAGATTCCTCTAACACATTTACCATCTCGGAATGAATTTCCATTGTCTTTAAACCTTTTTTAACAAAGAACTCAATCACTGCACGCTGTTTCAAATTTTCCATTGCAAACAAATATACTGACACATCAACTTCAATTGGTTTGTAAACACAGAAAGAATTGACAGATGGAAATGAAACCTAATCTAGGTTTATGTGAAGAGTAATTCTATATAACCGACTACAATTTATAATTCTACCGTTTACTTATAGATGCCGCTCCGCGAACTTTCACGCAACCTGTATATGGGGTATTCTCTGTCAAATCTAACATTCCCTTTGTCCAAAAATTGCAGCAACAAAAAAAACTGTACCCTCTCTTGAAGAGAAAGAAAGTGTAAATCCCATTCTTATATTGAAAATGGATTTTCAATAGGTCTATTCTCTATTCTTACGCTCCAAGTCTCAAATTTTATTATTTCAAGCATAACGTCCCTTCAGTTAAAGTTTACGATTCACGAAAACCGAAACAAACTATCCTAATCTCTGAGTTCACATTTTTTAGAAGGGTACAATCTGAAGGAACATCAGCTTCAAGGGAAATTGCCCGACCAAGGTCCAGT